CACAGCAGTGATGTCAGAAGAGGCAATTAGAATCCTCATCTCTTCTGCAAGTGGTCCCCAATGATGGAAAAAAGCATAACTTCTTGCTTGATTGGTCAGACAACCATCTCCTTTTACTTCTCTGCTTGCCTTGGCACACAGAAGCAGTAGCAGTGGTTAATTTTTCACCCCAAATCCCGTGGTGTTGTCAGAGTGATCTGCATCTGCTCTCCTCATGCCCCACATCAACCCTCTGAAACTGCAGCAGTGAGCTAGAATTGGATGAAGAGGATGAACCCATTATATATCCTGGAACAGTGCTTCATTGCAGCCTAAGGCAGAGCTGCTGGCTTTGATATGCAGACGACCAGATCATATAGAGAATTAAAACAGAAAACAAAACCACAAAAAATGTATCGGCCAGATCAGCTCCCTGAGCAAATTCACTCTTCTGAGACTTGAGAATAAGACCTGGGTAAGTCAGAGGCCAACAGGGCAAAGTGCACAATCCTGCACCTGGGGAGGAGCAGCTCTGTGCACCAGCACATGCCAGGGGCTGCACAGCCAGAAAACAGCATGGAGAAAAGAGACCTGGTGTTCCTGGTAGACCATGAGCCAGAAATGTGCCCTTGCAGCAGAGGCTAGTAGGTGGCATTTAGGAGACTGTCTCTGGCAGATGGAGGTGATCCTTCCCCTCTGCTGAGCATTGGTAAGGCCAAACCCGGACTGCTGTCCTGTTCTGGGCTCCCCAGTACAGAGAGATATGGACATACTGGAGACTGTCCAATGAAGGGCAACTAAGATGCTGAAGGGACTGAAACATCACTCCTATGAGTAAAGGCTGAGGGAGCTGGGACTGCTCAGCCAGGAGAAGGCTGGGGGCAGGGACAACATCTGTCTCCTCAATGTGTACAAATACCACATGGGTGGAATGAAGATGAGTGAGACAGATCTTTCCAATGGTGTCCAGTGACAGGACCAGAGGTAACAGCCACAAACTGAAACCCAGTGAGCACTGGCATAGTTTGCCCAAGGAGGTTCTGGAATTTCCATTATTGGAGATACTTGACAAGCTGCTTTCTGAAGTGCAGCAGCCAATAGCGAGACACATGGCAGATGAGTCATTCCAACATCTCTCCCAAACAACCAGCTCAATTTCCTCACCTCAGAGGTACTGCTCTCAGATGCAGCCATAACAGGCTCTGCTGCACACAGCAGTGATGTCAGAAGAGGCAATCTGCTACAGTCCTGGGCATCTGGCTCTAGGTGGCCCTTCTTGAACAGGGGGACTGGACAAGGTGGAGCTCCCTCCCAGCCTCAACCCCTCTATGACAAAACCATTCCAATTCAATACCTGCAGTCTGCAACTGCCATAGCACTAATTATCTTCTATCTGAAAAACTGGATGTGTCACTTCTAATGAGAACTGTGAATAGTAGGTAGGTAATTGATGTGTATAAGGATTCAGCCCTAAATCCCAAGACGATGCATTAAACCCAAATTACTACCTGAAGCACAGACACCTCAACGAGGAGACTGCTGTTAACATTCCATGCTCCTGTTTCATCTATGCTTTTCGTCTTGGCAGTGATCCTCAGCTTTTCACAAGCCCCAGTTTCCTGCAGCTGTACCTGATAAACACCTGCAATGAGGCTGATAGCTGAAGACTGGAGTGAAAATGCAGAGAAACCAGGGCTGAAGTCTCTCTCCCAGGGACTGGGAATTCCCAGCTCTGGACTCAAACTAATTGCTCCTACCAAAGATGACACCAGCCATAAGTCAGCAGTATGGTCTCTCCTCCAGGCTAGGACCCAGGATAGGAAAAGTAGCAGAAATATTCTGTGTTGCATCTTTACACTTTCTGCACACAAAATTACACTAAAACTGTAAGAAACAAACACACACAAAGCCAAGAAGCGGTCTGCAAGTAACGCTCTGCTTAGTTCTCTTTCTGTGCTTCCTACCCTGTAGGTGTGAAAAAGCAGTAAAATAGGCCATGAGCCAGCAAGTCACTGCCAGAGCCAACCAGGCAGTAGTCAGTGGAGGAGATGCAGTCTCAAACTGTGTCCTCTGGCTCTGGTATTAACCTCCATCCTTCTCCACTCAGACAGACAGGAAATGAGAAAAAAGTTATTTTTTCTATTTATGTAAAAAACAGGCTGTAAGAGAAGAAGCAGTTTAATAAGGTGGATATCTGTTCCAGCCCCACCTGGAGACAGGGTTTCAGCAGGGCCACATGCTAATGCAGGACAAACCAACCCCACAGACAAATGCATCACCATGATGCTGTGTGCACAGAACTGCAGTTGAGAAAGGAACTGTTTTGCTCCTGCTCAGACCTCCCAGATATTTTAGTTCATTTTTCTTCGCTTGCGTTGGTTCCCTGCTGCCTTCTGTACAGGCAAGGGGAGAGAGAGAGTACCCAGCTTGTGGTTCTGATCATGCTCAAGTCCTGGCAGCCCCTTTGCCTTGGAGACCTTCAACCGCATGGCCTTTGCGATGTCCATCATCCTGGAAAACACCAGAGAAACACTCTTACTGGAGCACACAAGTCTTCTGTACCATGACAATGCACAAGAGATGGCAGCCTTTTGTTGCAGGGAAGAAGCCAGGAGGCACCAACGAGCAGGGCGTGTCCTCTGTGCCTCAAGGAACACCATGGAGACAGAAGCTCAAAGACTACAAGGTCTCGCCAGCTTTCCTGGGGAGGACAGAATGCTACTGAGCTGTGCTACTGAGCTGTGCAGTGCCACCTCAGAGACCATTACAAATGATCTTACACAACAGCCAGCTGACTTGAGAAGAAATAATGCTGCTCTCCACTTCCCTACAAAGTTGAGAACAGGCATTATTTGTGTTAAGCTGCCGCTGCTGGCAGCCCATGGTTGCTCCCATGTGTGGTACCATGAATGGAATGCAGTACAGCAAGAACATCTCTTAGCCCCTCACAGTCAGCATGTAAGAACAAGGCCTTGGCTGAGATGTGAAGTGTGACTAGCTTGGGCAAGGAGGCATAAGCCACAACAGACCTGGAGGCAGGTCAAGCAGACAGAACAAAGTTAACGAAGGGAAGCTGGCAGGGAAATAGCGTCCTGGTCTCAGCTTGAGTCTTGAGAACACAAAGTCCCAGAATCCTCCCAGGTGACTTTATTGTCTTTGAAATACAGGTTCAGTTAGGAAGGGTTCATCAGTCAAACCTTCTAGTACAAGCAAGGATCATCCTATCAGGTGACTCAGGGCTATGTCTCTCTCCCCTCAATTTTTCCAGCAGGTCCTAGCCTCCTCCACCCTTTTCTCAACAGCATCCTAAGCCCTGTGCTGCCAGAGCCTTTACAGCAGTGAAGAAAAAAAAAAAAGAGTGTCATTTGCAAAAACCAGTGTGGATTCTTTAAAAAGCTTAGTTCCAAAAATGAAAAAAAAAAAAGCAAGAAAAAGTGTCTGGAAACCAACAGCAAATGCTGCTGTTAAACCCGCTACTACCCATCATTTACTACTACTACCACTACTGCTACTACTACATCACTACTACTACCATCTTTCATCAAAGATTGGAAAGACTAACTGGGGACAAAATCAGAAGTAATCGCATCAAAGCTGACCAGGGAGCTAGCAAAACCAAGAGGTGATTAAGGGCTCTGACAACTTCCCGTTACCAACAGGCATTAAGAGTACATCCCTCAGCCAGAAACCATTGGACAGTCACACTTCTCTCAGCCACAGTGAAGGGTCTGTGTCCCTCCACAATTAGTTCCCAGCTGCAGAACCACAAAGCAATCCTGTCAAGAAAGACTGATGTGACCAGGCAGACGTCCTTGGCATCACCATTGCCCACACAAGAGGACAAGACAGGAGGGAGATACTAAAAACCACATTGGAGCATTGCTAATGGGGCCCCCTGACCCCTTCTCAGGCAGCGCTAACAAGCTCCCTGCTGAGCTGCTGTCTTCCAGCAAGCACACTGGACTGATGGAGTGATTCTGACCAATTCCTGTCGTATTCTGGAGGAGCCCGAGACACCCCAGCGTCTACTGCAGCAGATGTGCGGAGCCCGAGGAGCTGCCAGTGGTGCCGGCTGACACCTGCTGGGAACAGCAGGTCTTGCAGCTCACAGGACGCTTGCTGGCATATTCTCCCTCGGAAAATTAAAGTCTGGGGAGCAAACACAGGTAGGGTTGTCTGCTGTTTTTTACCCATTCACCTCCACCAGCCCTGATTCGGAAAAATCCTTATTCCAGACACCACGGCCAGCAGTGCTGCCTTACCACCTCCTCCTGGTGCTTTGATAAAAAGCTCATCAGCGTTTCAGAAACAAAAACCTCTTTCGTGTCAAGCCCAGAGTAGGTAAATACCAGGAGCCTGGGACTCCTCCATGTGAACAACCACCTCCATGTGCTCACAGTGTGATTTTAAGAAAAAATCCCTACGTTTCTCATTTTCCTGTTGCAGTCAGCTGCAAACCTGTATTTACACCCCGACTGGTACCCAACAGCAATTGGAGCTCTGCAGGGAGAAGGGACATAGAGAACACGAAGGTGAATTATGATGTGGTGTGTCAGGCACGAAACAGACTGGGTGGCAGTGGGTAGATCTTGTCCCAGCATCTGCCCCAGGCAGCCTTGACAGTGCTGCCTGCCTCCGCATCCTTCCCTGCAGGACAGCTGAAGAGCCTCCCGATGCTCCTGAGGACCATTCTGCAGCAAGGGCCCTTTCGAAGTCCAAGATGTGTAACCATCTTCACTTTATCAGCACCAGGGCTTCAAAATAAAGCTTCAACACACTCATAAAGTTCAATTACAACAAAGGAGATTTGTCATCAGGTATTACTGCATGACCGAGTTGCCAGAGAGGCCCCAGAGCTCTCTCCTCAGGGCCTCTTTGTAGGAGAATCACCGTGTATCTCAGCAGGTATGAACACGACAACTCACCTGCTTTCTTGGAGCTTCATGTCATTCTGCAAGATGGTGAGGTCTGTTTGGAAGTTGTTAATGTGCAACGCCAGTGCAATGACATATGCTGTGATTTTAGCCTTCATTGATGCAGAGATTAAATTCTGGACACTGCAAGGCAAGAGGGAGAACACATGAAATGTGGAGTGTCAGTGAACCCAAAACACAGCCCCCATGGGGTGCAGACAGAACCGAAGCCCCAGTTAGACAGGACTTACTTTTCCCAGACACCAAAGAGATCAAAGCAACACAGACCTCTGATCACAGGACTCCACAGGCTTCTTTGTCCTCACATACCCCTGTTTCTGTTCAGGAGTGCAGGAGGTTTATTGCTGTGCAGCCTTGACAAAACCACCAACTGACAACACCTCAGTCCCTTTGGCACACTGGTCCGCAGAGGAGGACAGCAAAGGGAAGCTGTTCTGTGGGCATTCAGTATTAACGACTAATGGCACCTCAAACCAGAGCCCACACAAGGCAGATCCCTGTCTGGAAATCCCCTGTGGGCACTGTGACTGCTGGTCACTGGTCTGATCCTGCAGACAAAAGCTGGCCTGTTTGGGCTCAAATTCTTTGCTCTTGTCAGACAACAACACAGTGCAGAGATACAATAGCTGAGCATCACCATTACACCCCTTGCAGGCAGAGGCTGTGGCTCCCCGGGTGTGGGTAAGAGTGAGGATACTACTCACTCTTGCCTGTATTTTGGTACTTCCACTCAACAGGATGGCTTAAAATGCTCATCCAGATTTATAACTGCTTAGTTCTAAGTGGTATCTGTCTGAAGGTTGCAGTTGAGGGACACTTGCTCACAGGCAGCCTCCAGCAGCTGCCTGGGGCTGTCCCTACACTGAGACAGCACCCGGCACTACACAAGTGCCTCCAACACTGCTGGAAAGGAAGGTCACAGAAATGATCCAAGCACTGGAACCCCTCTGCTGGGAGACCAGGCTGAGAGTTGGGTTTGTTCAGCCTGGAGAACAGAAGGCTCCAGAGATACCTTCTGGTGGCTTTCCAGTACCTCACAGGGCCTATCAGAAAGTCTGGGACAGACTTTTTAGCAGGGCCCGTTGTAACAGGACAAGGGGTGATGGGTTTAAACTAAAAGAGGAGAGACTTAGACTGGAAAGAAGAAATCTGTTACACTGTGGGTGGTGAAACAGTGGCCCAGGTTGCCCAGGAAGGTGGTTGATGCTCGATCCCTGGAACCACACCACATGAGGCTGGACAGGGCTCTGAGCAACCTGCTCTAGTTGCAGATCTCCCTGCAGGGGAGTTGGACTAGATGACATTGAAAGGTCCCCTAGAATGCAAACCTGTCTATGACTCTATAATTCTCTGTCTAGTGGAGATCTTCCCAGCCTCGGCTCCAGCCATGGGGTGGTGGCTTCTCTTCACTGACCTCCACAGCAGGACCAGACCCCACCCTACTATACCAAACTTTGTCACTGCTGGTGGGGCAATACCTGGGTAAAGCTGAGGCAGAACTCTTTGCCCTGTGTCCATACAGGTGCAATGGTGTGGGCCTCAGCCCAGAAGAGCTGACGAGGTCAAATATTAGTTTTGTCAGTGTAGGTTTCAATGCAAAATCCAAGTAAGTCAAGTCATGTCTGCATTGATGTGAAAGCACCCCTTTTATGCTAATTAAACTACATGAGTGTAAAAAAAGCATCATTATTTAGCCACTGCTCCACCTCTGTCCTGACCCACTCTGGGATGGTGGAAGAGCTGAACACCCATCCGCCAGCTGCCCAGGTCCACCCTGAACAGGTCCAGGTGAGAGCTGTGCAGTGGCACAGCAGGGCCAGCTGCCCAGGGAGTGAACCCAGGAACGGCCAGGCAGGTGGCTGGGCACCCATCAGGTCACACCAGCCAAACCCACAAGTGCAGGGTCACTTTTACACACATGACCCTGCTTCTCCCAGTTACATTTTAGACCTGCATTGTCTAAAATGGACCATCACCAGCCATGACTCAAGGGAAGTAACTGTAGCTCTGTACTGGGCACTGGTGAGGCTGCACCTCAAATCCCGAGCTTGGCTTTGGGCCTCCCACTCCCAGAAAGACTTTGAGGGCCTGGAGCATGTCCAGAGTAGGGCAACGAAGATGGGGAAGGGTCTAGAGCCCAAGCCTTGTGAGGAGCAGCTGAGGGACCTGGGGTTGTTCAGCCTGGAGCAAAGGCTGAAAGTCTATGATTCTACATGCTGAGGGTAAAGCAAGGCAAGCTTCTGCTATCTTCCATTTTAGTAGAAGGTTTCCTGACCAGGTGTCCATGGCTCTTCAAGCTCAACTCTACTATACCACTGCATCAACAACATCAAAGTAAGCAGTTCCTTACCTGCCATTGTTGTAGGTCAGTGAACTGAAATTCTTCATGAGTTTTCTGCTAATAATGTGTGGGCATTCAGGACCCATTGGATCTAGGACAGAAAGAGGTTTTGCAGTGGCATGAGAAACACATCTCCTTCTTGTATTGGCCACCTGCAGCCATCGTAATAGCATGTTTACTACCACAACATTTATCACCTCTTTCCAGGAACACAGAGAACTTAAAAGGAACCTGAATACCTGGTTTCTAGGTCTCATCACTTCTCATGTCTGAGAGAGGCTCCTAGCAGCTTTTATTTTCTTTACAAATGCGATCCCCACTTCCAGGACTACAATCTAAAATGTGTACATGTGCACCTACATACGTAGCTAATAGACTCCTGCCTTTTAATAGATGGCCCTGTCACTGAAACCACAGTAACAAATTCATACTAGCAGCAAGACTAGTAATTTCCACATCCTTCTTGACTAAGTCCTGCAGGGTGACTCCTGTGTGTCCAGCAATGCAGGAGGGTATTTACAGCCAGGCTGGCCACTTCGTCCTGCAGCAATGCTCTGCCACTGAAAATACTAACAATGCCATTTTCAGCATTGACAAGGAGACTTGGATACACAAGTTCTATGGAAGATTGCAAGTCTTGAAAATCTCAACCAAAATATTTTGGGCAATGCTTTTGAGAACAGCATTCTGAATGCACCAGTGTGTCACTGCATCTCAGTGTGTGGTCACTGTAATCCACACACTGAGATAATGAGCAAAGGATGATGAACACATTCTCAAAAGTGTAGAGAAATATCAAGGATGTATTGTGTACTGTGTGCCTCTTGCATCTGGAACGTGAA